TGCAGCCGCTGACTGGTATTGAGGAGGGCTTTTCGTTGATGGTTCTACCATCCTCAGAGAGACATGCCTGAATTCTCCTTCCAGGGAAGCAGAAGAGGTGGACAGATAGGTCATCAGTGCCTGTCCCACCTTACCCTGCACCGGGAATCGCTAGAAACTCACTTGTTTTGAGTTTATTCATTTACAATCCATCCCTAAGCCTGGGCAAGGGGCCTAGCATATCTTCTCAGTGCTAAGGCAGGGGACCTGGGCAGGGGCCCAGCATATCTCCTCAGTCCTAAGGCAGGGGACCTGGGCAGGGGCCCAGCATATCTCTTCAGCCCTAAGTCAAGGAATATGAGCAAGGGGCCTAGGCGAGGGGCCCAGCATATCTGTTTCGTGCAGCGGAATCCCTAACTACGAGGCACAACTGCTTCAGGAGCAAGAACAGACATCTGTACACATCTCAGTCTTCAAGTATAAAAGGAATAGATGTCAGAGGTGGGGTTTACCTTCCAAGCCTTGGCAATTTCCCCTTCTCCCTGGTGTCACCCATCATCAGCACATGGGGTGTAAATATAACTTATCTTCCTGGAGGATTCTTCCAGATCTCAAATAGAAGTACTCTGAGTCAAGGGGTTCAAAGTGAGTCTAAGGTTGGGGTCCCTGCTTCCTATCCTCACCAGATCCTGCTTTAGACTCTGAGAGAAGATGAACCTCCTGTAACATCAATGGCCAGAGACCTTGTCACAGGTCTCCTGCTCAGGTGCCTGCCCAGCACTGGCCACCTGCTTATGCTCAGAGATAGAAGAGGGAAGTGTCTTTTCTTCCAGAACAGAACACAGTACAGCGCTGGTGGAATGTTCCAGGCCGAGAAGGGGAAGACAGGTGAACTTGGCCTCGACATCACGTACGTATCAGGGTCCCTTGCTCATAAAGGCATGGCTGATGGAGGAGGGCGTGTCATGGTAAAGAAGACAGAAAGGGGTTGAAGGCTGTAGTTCAATGAGTGGTAGAACCCTGCCTAATGTGGATAAGGTCTTAGGGTCAATCTCCAAGAAAAGAAGGAAGAGAAGGACTAAGCAACGGAAAAGGGAGAGCCGGTGAGCAGCTGGGCACATTGCTTGCTAAACAAGGTCCAGGTTTGAGCCTGATCATGGCATTCCACTAACTCAGCGCTAAAACCAGCAGAAACAGGAGAAATTCCCAGAGTAAGACAGCATGTGAACATGAAGAACGTAGAATATGCATGTTACACAAGAAGCCAGTTATATCACACACACACACAAAGACACACAAAGACTCACACACACTGTGGCTCCCACAGTCTCATGTGTTTGACTGCTTAGTCATAGGGAGTGGCACTATTAGGAGGTGTGGCCTAATAAGGAGGAGGTGTGGCTTTGTTAGGGAAAGTGTGCCGCCGTGGAGGCGGAGGTTTGAGGTCTTAACTGCTCAAGCTATGCCAGGCATGGAACACATCCTGGCCCCTCCTGCTGCCTTCAGATCAAGATGTAGAACTCTTGGCTCCCTCTCTAGCACCATGTCTGCCTGGATGCTGCCATGCCGCCCACCATGATGATAATGGATCCCTGCTGAGTATCTGGACCCCAGGCTCAGAGAACCAACTGCGAGGCTGCTGAGTGTCCTACTGGGTGACAATCAGACAAATCAATAGCTTGAAACCTAAGAACCAAAGTCAGGACCGACCGACCTTTGCATTCCAACATGGAGATGCTTGGGTCTAATGCAACTTGCTGCAAATTAGAATCTCCGAGTGGGGAGTCTCAGTGGAGAGTTGGCACAGTTGCCTGAATTAATCTGGGAAGAAACTCCCCTAAAATAGGTAGCAACTACTGGGCGGCCGAGATTAAAAGAGGAGTGTGAGGGACATGGGTGGAGGAAGGCCCTCTTAATTGGCCTCCCTCTTGCTTCTGGGCTAACTTACCCTGTTGCTGCTGATTCCTTGAATGATATCAGACCAGAATTTCCAGGCTTTCACAGTAGACCGAATCCAGAGGCTCTTCAAGAACCATCTGGGTTTTCAGTGCCAGATTGGAACTACTAAGGTACCCAGTCTTAAGGACCAAAACAACTACTGGGTTCTCAGACTCTCGGGTGTGTGTGTGAGAGAGAGAGAGAGCTGTTGTTACTATTCCAACATAAGTTGATTTATTAAATTCTTTCAACACATAAACATATGTAGATAGACTATCAGCTAGATAGAAGATAGATAGATAGATAGATAGATGATAGACAGATAGACTGATGATAGATAGACAGACAGACAGTTAGATAATAGATATCCAGTGGTAGTTTTCTGGTCAAAACCGTTGATCTCTGGACAAAATCATAGGCCAGTTCTTGAAGCTTTGGGGACATCTTTCTCACCCACCAACACATAGAGAATGTTCTGGAACATTGCAGCAGATAGGTGGACCCTCACAAATGTGTTGGCATCCCATTCGATGCTCTTCTATTTTACTTGGCCTCTCCTTCATCCAGTTAGGTTGGGTGTGGGGGACTTTTCCTTCTCCATCCCAGTTATGGGGTGCCCACTTGGTGTGGGGTGATAAGTAGCAGTAAAAGATGAGGTTCCCTGCTTGTGGGTTCTTAGCCCACCAAGAAAAACCCCATGGCTGGTGAAGGATATACAGGAGTTGGTGAACACACATAGACAAGCATATCGGGTATCCCCAAACAGCCTTCCAGAAAACAGGGACTACCATCCAGGGCAGAGATCACAGCCTGTACTAGGGAGGAGGGGGAGGCACAGGGGAACCTTTGCATGCTGTGTCAAGGGCCCTGGCTGGGTGGGAGGCAGGAGAACTTCATGGGAACGTCTGGCCTCCTCCATTGCCCTGAATACAGTAGAAGGCTGAAGGCTGGAGTCCTGCCCAGGCTGAGCTCGCCTCCACAGTGCTGAGGATGTCAGAGGCAGCCACCTCAGAGAGTTTTCGGAAAGAGTTGAGCCAGGTTTGCTCATAGCAAAAGCAAAGTGGGAAAAGCAGGCAAAGCCAGAGAGGACCGGTTACCAGTTCGTTCATAAGGAGCACTTTGAAACGACTGCACAGCCTTCTCTGCCCTTAGGGACTGGCCTGACATGTGCCCATTCCTTCGTTTCTGCTGCCTATGAGTGTCTGAGACAAACGGGTGGCTAGATAAACCGGTGGGTGTGAGGGAGAAAGGAGAGGGTGACAAGGGAGGGAGAAGAAAGGAGAGAGAAGGAGAGAGAGGCAGGAGGGAGGGAGGAGAGGTGGGATGGAGAAGGGAGAGGAGGAAGAGAGGAAAGAGGCAGGGAGTGGTATAAAGACATAGGTGGCTAGCTGGAGGAACAGCTCGTTACTAGTGTGGGTGTGGGTGCCTGTAAGATCTCTAGATTCATCGACAGCTGGATACAACATAACTCCAGGTTGATAGATGCAAGACACAACCTTGGTGACTTATTGTATCCAACAAGAGTAGACTTCTCCCAGTGCCACACTAGGGTTCATGACAGCAAGCCAGACCAGTAGGGGCAGCTTCTGTAGGGATGACAGATGGGGCTAGCTAGCCTGGGAATGATCAACTCCAATGTTCTTTCTCATGGTATAGGACTCTTCAGAGCTGCTGAGTGTCTGGCTTCAAGGTGGAGAGGTCAGGTGCTTCCCATCAGAAAACCCAGTAAGGGGAGAGTCTGGAATGTGAACTGAGCCAGCCACTCTAGACCGACCAGCGCTCAGCTGAGACTACAGAACAGGGGCAAGATGGTGGGGGCTCTGGAAGGTTTGCTCTTGGTTTTGAGTTTCAGTCTCAATATGGAGAGCCAGGCAGACCTCTGACTCTAGACCCTGCAGTCTCGGTTTCTGTGGATCACCGCCCAGCTTCTCTGCAAAGCTCTTGAGGGACCGACCCTTCCCTTGTGACCTTTCAGTGCTGTGGAGGTTGTGGTTTCCCCTGCAGGAGTGGGTAGGCATCATATTCAGCCTTAGCCAGATCACAGGCTTCCTCACCAACTGGACCAGAGATCCCAGGCCTCGGAAGCTCCCTGTGGTCAGACAGGCCAGAGGTGTAGATGCGGCAATGGGACACTCAGGTCACAAGAGCCTTGACTCACTTCAGTTAGTCTGAAGCCAAGCCGGGGCTACATCTCAGCAGATCCATAGCTTTTCTTAGATTCACCGCCTCTGCTGCTGCCCCATCCCTCTGTGTCAGGGACAAGGGGACAGCAGCTGGAGCTCTGTCTGTGTGCGTTCCTGGATCCTGAGGCTCATTCTTGACTGATCTCTAGTCTTTCCTGCACCCTCCACTCCTCTCATCTGGAGAGGAAAGCTCAGTAGGTCTTTAGCAGATCTTCAAAGAAAATGAAAGGAGCCGGAGCTTAGAAGGGGAGGAAGAAACTGCTTCTAAATTCCCCAAAGGGATTCCGTGTCTGGCAGGGACCCACACACAGCTGACCCATGGACTTGGCCAGCCGTGTGTCCCTTCTCTGAGATGTATCCTAGTTTCTGTCACGGCACCCTTGGGAGGTGTGCACGGTAAAAGCAAAATAAAAAACACGTTCAGAACTCCCCCGCCCAACTTGCTGCTGTCTATTTACACCCTCTAAGTAAATGTCCACTGTTTGCACCTAAAACTCAGGAGCAAAACAAATCACTTCAGGAGACCCAGCAATGGTCTCCTGTTACTATAACAGTGTTATGTTAAACACAGGCATTCACGTGGTCCCCGTGGCTGTTCCGGCTGCAGGGGAAACATTTGCCATCCGAGGCTCCCCCGACCGGAAGGACTACCTGTGGCCATCCCAACTTGGTCTCCGCACCTAGGAGGTCCAAAAGCACCCCCAGCTAGGAACTGCTACTGATCCGGGAGCCAGGAGCTGATCTGGGCTGGAGGTGGAAGGGGGGAGGTGCCCAGGAGAGTGATGACATCACCGGCCAGCCCTTGAAAGATGAGCTGTTCCCCCTGCCACTCCAGCTCCGCTCCTCAGGAGAGTGGGTAGGACTGTCGGGGACGGCGGCGGCGGCGGCGGCGGAGGCGGCGGTGTGGCAGGCAGTCGCTGAACCCGGACCGAGGGACTCCCCACAACACAGGCACGGCTCGCTCAAGAAAAGGTGAGTGTCCGGCAAGAGTTCGTTCACGGAGAGCGCAAGTATCCCAGCACAGAGAGGGCCTGGCCCCAGCTGAGACTGAGTCCCAGGCTCCCAGGGGTTCTATGGGGAACTGGAGGAAGATTCCTTCCTCCCCTAGGTCTGAGAAATGGCAGGAGGAAGGGTTACAGATATTTACAGGCAGGGGGTTTGCCTTGCCTGTTCCAGCGCATCTTTTCCCTGTGAGTGACCTGTGGTTTGAGTTTTATATGCTCCATGAGTACACCTTGGGCTAAAGCATTAAGTGTGCTAGCCAGCAGGACAGGTGTCCAGAGTCCAGCTTTTTATTCACTGGACCACTGACGGTCTTTTGTGACCCCCGGAGAGTCTCTGTCATGTCTCTTGAGTCTTGTTTTCTCTGTCTGTAAGGTGTGTTTGGCTGCTCTTCGGAGCGTAGATTAAGACAGAGAGACTTTGTCCCCACTGTCTGTTATGCCTCATCTGAGCCAATGGTGGCAGCTTTAACCCACAAATGCTTAGTGTCCCCCTGCCCTGGTTCTCCATCAAGGTAGTGGTTGTGAGTGAGCTTTGTGTGTTGTCTTGGGTTCAAGTCCCAGCTCTACTTTCACCCCACGGATGATATAGTTGGTGAAGATTTTATATCTCGGGACCAGGGCCACAAAGAAGACGCAGTGGCTCTTTTTTAACTCAGACAGATATGTGGCCGCCCCGCGACATGCCACGTGGGCAGATTGCGTTATCCTGGTTGCTGGTTGGTAGCTCTGTGCCCTGTGTTGGGTGCAGCAGCGATGCTCAGGGGTTAGGCAGGTTAGAATGTGCCTCCCTGAGTCACAAGCTGCCTGTGGCTCTCTCAAGCCGTCCACAGGAAGCACGAGCTCTGCTGGGTGTGGTGCCAGCCATAACTCCTGCCCCTTCTGTGTCAGAGAAGGGCTTGCAGAGGATCTGATCCCCTTCTGTACCCTAAGAGCAGTGTGGGTGATGGGAACACCCCACAGTTGAGAGACTCTGGGAGCAGAAAGTTTGCTGTTTTCCTCTGCTTGGATTGGGGTAGGGACAGGCAGGAAAGGAGGGTTGGAAAAAATATTAAAAATGGAAAAGCTCCTGTGCTTGCCTGACAGTCGACTTTAGGAGTCCATGACAGTTCTACCCTGAACTTGCGCACTGCAGCTTGATGTGTTTAAAAAAAAAGCCCCTTGTAATCATACCCTGCAAGGCCCCCCGTACAGATGGGGAAACTGAGTCTGAAGGAGGCCACACCTTCACCAATGTCCTTCTTAACATTGCCAAGAGACTTTCATAACTTCACGGGACTCAGCCTCTGTCACCTTTAAAAAAGGAAGAGATGGAGTGGCTGACCCTGTGTAAGGATGCTGCCCTCTACAAGGGATCCATCAGATGCCGAGCAAAGGGGGTCAAGCCCAGAGCAACTGGACCATGTAACTTCTGCTAACACAGTGACTGGCTGGACAAGAATTTCAGGGTATCTGAATGACATCAGGGCTACCCCTCTCTGCTGTTCAGGTGTGGCCTGTAAGGGACCACATGGGCCAAGGGAGAGTCGTACAGCCTGCCATGGGACCTGGGCTTCCAGAATGAAGGCGGGACCTCCACCTCTGTATCTGCTCGTGGGATAGACAGCCGTCTGCTTTAGAACTGGGCCCCAGGTCACTATTTGCTGAAGAAAATGAAGAAGGCTTTGCTGAACGGACGGCCTCCATGTTCATACAGAAAGCTCTGAGAACACACAGCTTGGTGCTGAGTTAAAGCAGCTGGTTTGGGAAGGTGACACTGTGTGAGCAGCCTGTGAACCCTTTGAACTGTCCCCTTCAGTTTTCTGTGAACCTACAGCTGTTCTTGGGAAAAGCATGTGGATCGGGTGGGTTTGTTTTGCTTTAAGAAGTCAAAGGTCATGAGTTAAAGAACCCATTGACACCAGAGACCCAAGTGATTGCTTCCAACGTGGTCCTTGGCCCGGGAAACCCATAAACAACATTCTTAGTGTACATGCTGGACCAGTGTGCATCTCAGGACCAGGAAGCTGGCTGTTACCCATGACCCATCTCGGGAGGGCTCGAAGGCCAGCAATCCTCTCCTCAGGTGGAGGTAGCCAGCTTCCCCAGAACCACAGACCATGTACTGTTTGGACGATCGATACAAGCGAGCTCTCCTGGGCCAGAATGTCCACAGCCCTGTCATCTGCCCTCTATGAGAGGGTTACACGGCAAGCTTTCCCAGTTTTCTGGGGAGCCTACACCCAAGACACACACCCAGGGCTGCATTCCAGAGCAAACTGAAGAATCCCTCTCTCCCTCTGATTCAGTCACCAAGGTGGGGGTCTCTGAGACTCTGGAGGCCAAAAAGTGTGGAGCCCTACAGGCCCCTCCCCCTCAGCCACTTCATCAGAGGTCAAAGTGAGGAGGGACAGCAGGACATTGGGTCCTAACCTCAATGGTACCACTTACAGATAGTCTCTGATTGCTTGCTTGTGGTAGGGACAATTGTCCCCACTTCAGAGGAGCCCTGCAAAGCTCCTCAGAGGACAGACTAGAGGGAATACCCCAGAGAATGAGACACCCCCTTTCCCTCCTCTCCTCTCCCCTCCTTCTCTCCTCTTCCCTCCCTTCCTTCTCTCCTCTCCTCCCCTCCTCTTCCATCCTCTCCTCTCCCCTCCCCTCCTCTCCCCTCTACTGTCATCCCCTCTCCTCCCTTCCCCTCCCCTCTTCTCTCCTTTCCTCTCCCCTCCTCTCTTCTTTCCTCCATTCTTCTGAAGCTAGGCTAGAATTGAATCCCTCCTTCCCATACCACGTAGCCTAGGGCAAGCCATTTAGCTCTCTGACCTTGGTTCCTTCAGCTATAAATAGTAACTGAATCAGAAACTACCTAAAAATTCAAATCGGAAACCCCCCTGAGAGTCTGGAGCTCTGAGGGACAGCCCTAATCTCCCACAGCAGTACCTCTGGAAGGCCAGTCACAAGGAAGGTTAAGGAAGGAGAAGCCACTGCAGTTACGCTGCTGAAGAACAGCCAGTGGGCAGGGGCTTCTGTGGCAGCCTGCCGTGGATTATGAAGCACCAGTGGAGCGTAGGATCCCGACACACTAAGATCTTAGCTTGAGAGATGCATGTCCGTTGTTCTGACATGACTATCGATTTTTTCCTGCGATGTATTCCATAAAGAAACACTCATATGTGAGTTTGTTTTTTTTAAGTGAGCACCAGGGCTATACCTCAGAGCACTTATCTAACATGAGGAAAGTCCTGGATTTCTTTCCTCGCACCTCAAAAAATGAGGTGTTGTGGTGACTGGTTATGTTTCAACTTGATACAAGCTAGAATTATCTGAAGTGAGGAAACCTCAATTGAGGAGATGCCTCTACAAGCCTGCAGGCAAGCCTGTGGGACATTGTCTTAATCAGTAACTGATGTGGAAGGAACCAGTCCACTGTGGTCAGTGGTCTTGGGTTGTATAAGAAAGCAAATTGAGCCAGCAGCTTTCCTCCATGGTTCCCGTTGACAGTTCCTGCCTTGGCTTTCCGCCGCCGTGGACTGTGTTCCAGGATTTGTAAGCCAAATAAACCCTTCCCTCCCCAGACTGCTTTTGGTGGTGATCTTTCTCAGAGCAATAGAAAGCAAGCTGAGACAGAGGGTTGCTCAGTGAACGCAGAGAAGTAGGACAGGGTAACTGGAAGTGTCTGTGTCATGGGCCTTGGTCATGGGCCTCTTGGTCATGGGCCTCTGCCTGTGAGAATCAGGAGGCATCTGAAAAGGGAAGGGATGGGATGATAAGAGACAGCCTGGTGGCCTTCAGGGAGGAGGGTAACAGGGCTGGATCACACCAGGAGGGAGGCTTAGGGTCGCCTTGCTTCCTTCCATACTCTTTGAAATTATCATGGGCCTGCAAGTCCCTTGGCAGAAACTTAAATGAAATCTTAGACGCAAAGACAACAGGACTAGAAATAAGAAGACAAGCTAGGTGAGGCCTTGCACCTGAAATCTCAGCACCCAGAAAGCCGAGGCGGGAGGATGGCCCCAAGTATAAGACCAGCCTGGATGACCTGAATTCTATACCAGCAGCCCGGGTTTACCTATATCTCAGTAGCTATAAGATCTGAAAAGGTGGAGAGGAGAAACCACACGCCAGGCTTGCATCAGGTAGCCAGCCCTGTAGAGCAGCACTGGGGTCGGGGTGAAGTCAGGGGTGGGGTTTGAGGATGGCAGAACAAACCATCCTTGGGTCTTCAGAGTCTTACTGGGACTAAGTGCAAGAATGGAATCACTAAGTACCTACCATGTGGTGCTTGGCTTGGTGTTGAGCCCTGGAACTGGAGAGGGTGTTTGTTTGTTTTTGTTTGTTTGTTTGTTTGTTTTGAAACCACCTCTACTAAACAGACTCACGGTGTATGGGGTTCCTTGAAACAGCCTCTGCTCACGCAGACTCAGATTCCGAGGAGGGATTTGCCTTTCTGGGCTGAAAAAGATAAAGCATCCTGATTGAGTATTCCAGCCAAATAGAAAATTTGTCATGCTAAATAATGTACTAACAACGGGGTTGCAACATTATAGAAAAGATACTTATGATCAAATGCTTCCAATTAAAGTCTAAGCTATGGCCCTAAAGCTGGTTAGAACCTGACAGAGATGCTTAATGAAAGTCTGGAATGGTTCCTCAGAACAGATAAACAGTTTGTAACTACTGGGGACTAAAGTCTCACAGAACTTCACCCAAAGGGGAAAATGGAAGAGAGAGGGAGGGAGGAAATGAGAAGTGTGCTAGCGTTTTCCACCTTGTTCTTTTCAAGTGTGAGTTGTGTGTGCGCCCACACACATGTGCGTGTGTGGTATCCATGAGTGTGTTCCTGTGCCCTCAACATGCAAGCCCCCGTGAGACCACAAGTCAAACCTTGGGTGTCTTCCTGCGTTACTCTCAATATTTTCAGAGTCTCTCCCTGAACTTGGAGCTTGCCAACTGGTAGACTGGCTTGCCAGGGAGCCCTGGGAACCCTCC